AGATTTATCATTTATATAAAAAACTTTAAAATTTTGGGAAAATGTATCATCAAATTTTACTAGAAAAGCTAAAAAAAAAATCTCTGCTACAAGAAATCAAAGAACAAAATAAAGAGCTATTCCATGTTCATGGACAGAAAGATTCAATATTATTAAGATAGCTGTGCTTCCCAACTTGATCTATGGAATCCATGCATTCTAAATCAAAATATGACCAATTTATTTTTTGGAGCACTGACAAACTTATTCTAATGTTTATATGGAAATGCAAAAGACCCAAAATAGACAATACACTATCAAAGTAGAAAAATAAAGGCACAAGACAGACATTATCCAACTTCAAAGCTTACTATACAGCTGTAGTAAGAAAAGCAATGTAGTGCTGATGTAAGAAAACACAAATATATGGAAAAAAAAGGAAGATTAACAAGAAATAAACTTTTGATACACACAAAAACTTGAACGATTCTCCACAGGTTTATGCTGACTAAAAAAATGTATTATCAATAGGTAATAGGTAACATACTGAATCATTTCATTTATGTGACGTTTTTATTGTTGTTAAATATATACAAGATAAAAAGAGCATTTGTGAGCATGCAGTTCTGTATCACTAAGTACATTACATTATTGTGCAATCATGAGCACCCTTCACCTTCAAAACGTTTTCCTCTTCCCCGTCTAAAACTGTGTATCTATTAAGCATGAATTCTTCACTCTTTCTTCCTCCAGCCTGTGGTAACTACTATTCTTGCTCTGCCTTTATAAATTTGACTCCTCTAGCTACTTCATATAAATGAAATCCCAATATTTCTTCTTTATGACTGAGTTATTTCACTTGTCATAGTGTCCTCAAACATAATCCAGGTTGTCACATTTGTCATTGATTTCATTCTTTCTTGAGGCTGAATAATATTTTATTGTACATACACACCACATTTTATCTTTCCATTCATTCGTTTTGTAACATTTTCAGATAGAAAATGGAAATGTAAAAATGATTAGTGTTTGGCAAGTGATAGGGATGAAAATAAGCGTGAGGAAGTAGTGGGTGCACTTTTATAAAAGGGTAACGTAGTGATTAAATGTGCAGATTGGATAAAATTGTATGGAACTAAATATAAACACAGATACTTAAATTCCTACATGCACAAAACTGCATAAATCTGAATAAGATCAAAATCAGTATTCTAGCTGAGATCTCTGCCATAGTTTTGTAAGATGCTATTATTAAAATAAATTAGATAAAATGTTCATGAGATCTCTTTGTATTTATTGTTACAACCGCACGTGGATCTACTGTTACTTTAAAATGAATTATTTAATTAAAAATAGATAAATGTATAGAACCTCAAATATCTCATTATTTAGTATCATTGGGAGTATTCTTAATCATAGCATCTGGTAATGAAGCATCATGATGAATCCAATAAAAACATTTGGTGAAAAACATCCAAATAATACTTAGGATTAAAAGCTTTTATAGAGAATGTATTTGCAGCATATATTAAAAGAAAAATTATTTACATAAAAAATGAAGGTGAGGAAATTGAGGCCATTTCAGGCAAAAACAATAACAAGAAGAAAAACATGCTGAGATATATATGCCTTTATTGAAGGAAGTATGAATAGGATTGTCCAGAGCTGATCAAGGAAAATAGAGAGGGTTTAAAAAAAAAAAAGAAAATATAAGTAAGTCATGTAGAGTATTTTGAATTAAATAAAAAAGACAACCTAAATCATAAAAGCACTGGCAGTGTGATTGGATTTGCATCTTTAATAAAAGCATGAAATAAAAACATGTAAGATAAACTATTAAAGTAGTTTAGACTGAAAACTGGAAGGGCAGAAAGGAAGTTATTGAAATAAAACACCATAACATTATGCCTAGGCTAAAGTAATGGCAGGGAATCAGCAATGAGAATCATAAAAAATAACGAAGTAGAATCTAATAGGGAGAAGGAGGGAGATTATTTGAACTCATAGAAAGAGGAGTCAGACCACATATTATAGGTCATTGTACATAATCTTAAAAAGTAGAAATGTATACATGTAGCATCTTGTGTTCTGCAGTACAAAGTGAAGATATTTGAACAATACAGCAAAGAAAAATGCAAACGTTGAAGATGAAAAGAAAGTAACAAGCTGGCTGGGTGCAGTGGCTCATGCCTGTAATCCCTGCACTTCGGGAGGCCGAGGAGGGCGTAACATGAGGTCAGGAGTTTGAAATCAGACTGGCCGACACAGTGAAACCCTGGCTCTACTAAAAATACAAAAAAATTTAGGCGACATTAAAGAATTGGTGACAGAGCAAGACTCTGTCTCAGGAAAAAAAAAAAAAAAGAATATAACAAACCATACCTTCCAGAGATAAAGATATATTTGTGTAAAATTAATTTAGTTTAGTAATTTACTCATAATGTAAATATTATTTTTTTCTCAAATATTTAGTTCTGTTTTATTCTCTAAGAGCGTTAATCAGGCATCACCAGAGATAGAACTATCTAAATCTAAGTGCAACTATTGACTGTGTGGTCTCTGGCTTACCACACAGGTAAATAACACCCGTCTGCAATTTGACCTTCCGGGACTACCTCAAATGGACTTAATGACTGGCCTCTGGGTTTTAATGTGTTCTTGGCTCCTGAGTTACTCTCATAATTCACCACATTTTACTGAAGGTATCTGTTTCTCCATGAAATTGATCGTTTGTTTCCCTCACTTGGCTTCTGAGACACAAGGAACAATTTAAAATCATGTTGTTATTTGCAGGAATTCATTACTCATTCAACAATAATCTTGAACCCAGCAGTTACTTCATTTACAAAAGATTAATTTCAATACCATAATTGTAAGAGGCTTCTAGCATAAAAAACATTTATATTTTCTGTATTTTGCCTACACCTTAGAAGGTTATGATAAATTAAAGATACATGAATTAACATTGTGTTTCTTTTAAAGTGAAATTAATATATTGGAATTTCACTTCTTTCTGAAATTTTTAGAGATTTTAGATATGCTTTATCCGAAGACTGTTAAAAAATAAATATTCTAAAAGCAACTGCATAATACATGTATAATATTATAGTCATTTACTCCATAAATTGGCATCTCCCAAGTATTGTTTTATACCTATGAATGATCTATATATGTATTATTTACAAACAAATTATTTATGAGTTAATATGTTTATATATATGCATATATATGGTACCCATATATTGTACTAATTTGATAGTGTATCTGAAAAACTTCCTACTAGGAAACCTTATCTACTATCCAGGTCAAACTAAAATATGTATTCAAATGAATACACATACATTTCTATAATAAAGTTTGTGGTTACCTTAATAATTACTTTCCATGTATTTCTGAATTATGATATTTCAGTGGATACTTCCAGAAGGTGCACTTAAAATCCCTTACCTTTCATTA